AGCTCACGTCCTTCTTGGGAAACGGACAGACAGACGAACACAGAGTCGATGGCATAAGCCCGCTTATATAGCTTTTAAGCAAAAGAGCGGGCTAAAAATGAGTCAACTAGACCTATCATTTCTCACCTCTAGGTTACTTGCATAAGGTGACAAATCGAATTGACCCATTATGAATGATATAGCATTTAGAGAATATTTGAAAGATGAGATAACTCCTCTTGTAAGAAATTAAAGCCCTTGCCTCTAAACTCCATTATTCTTTTAGGAGTAACTCGACTTATTTCCCTTTACGCAAATTTTTACGGGATATACATGTTTAAAATGTAGATAGGGTCAATATCGCACCTGCACCACTACTTTCACACACCTTACGAATGGCACCACCCTAAAATATGGGTCATGTTCATGGTCCAATCATTCTTAATGCGGAAGGTATGGACCAAGACTAAGGTAGTTTATTAGCAGGAAGCATACTCGGTATTTTATTGTCTTTAAACCAGCCACCTTCATCGATTACAATCAAGTGCGTAAAACAACAATTTAACCGAACCCGTGGACGAGGAAGTCTAATAAAACTCGTTCATATAATTTACGGATGCCTTTGACCTCCTCTCTCTCTCTCTCCCTCTGCATGAATTCCGAGGTACATCTCGTTCAAGGTGGCCTTCTTTCAAGCTTCGAGAGCAGCCTCGTCAGCGTCGTCGCTCTTACGGCAATGGGGCAAGGCAATCTGCAGAAACTTCGTTAAATGATTTCCAGACCTTCTTAACCTGTGCATAACTAATTCCTAGGTACATTGCTTTCTGGGCCTGAGTTTTGCAAGCATCGAGGGCGGCCTCGCTTGTGGCGTTTGCGTCGCAGGCTTGAAGGTCAGCGTCGACGGAGTTGATAGTCTTCAGAACGTCGTCAAGCGTTGTCCTTGTGTTTTGGATGACGCTCTGTTAAGTAAGATGCGGGAGTTAGCAATTATATGCCGAAAAGAGCAGTTGGAGTCAAGCGTCCGAAGTCGCTCTCTACCTACCAGTGTCAATGCGCTCGTGCAAGTCGCCCAATCGGGGATCCACGAGTCGGCGAGCTGTGCGCCGGTGCAGTCATCACTGATTTTGTCGAATGTCTTCTTGACCTCTTGGATCTCTTGCGCCTTTTGGTTTATTTTGCTGTACAACGCCTCAAATGCGGCCCTCTTGCACTCAGCTTCGGCTTTGGTGTCGCTCTGGTACTTATTGAAGCACTGGACAGTAGCCTCGTCTGATGTACGGTGGTGGGAGCGCAAGATGGTATCAACCACAGAGTAGGCGTCAACAACAACGCGCTGTAAAGTAAGATTAAGTAAATCATACCGAAATGCGTAATTGTAGTCATCCGTCCAAAGTCATTGGTTACTTGCCGCTGGCAATTTCTTTAGGCACTGATCCCATTTGCTGTCGGAGGTTGACTTCGGGGCCGCAGACACAAGAGCCTAGAATACAAGCCACCTTATATATAATTTCACTTTTGTCAGCTTTTATCACTGAAACTTTGCAAGTCAGACCTGATGTTGTTCAAGCTAGAGAGGGTAGCTTTAAGCAAAAGCTATCCTCTCTAGGTTTAAGAGTCAAGGCTACTGCGGCATGCCGAAAAAACGGTATGGCACGGAAGTCATTGGCTGAGCGATAGCGAAGCCTTTTACTGTAGTTTTTTTTCAAAATTTTCCTTTGTGTCCTCAAGGGTAACTCTTGAAAGCAAAGCCCATAGCCCGAAATTTTTGCCGTTTGGCTCTTTTTCTTGCCGTTGCGGCGCTAGAGGGTGTTTTGGACGAAATAAGCGAAAATTGAGTACGCCAAAATGTTAGTGGCGGAGGCCGCTAAGTGACTACATTACCCAATGGACCGTTCATCATGTGACGACGCCGCTGGCCAAAGCAGATGTGCGCCAGGCGTAACAGTGTTGGGATATCGCGAAGCCTGGTGCGCGGACCTGGCCTGGCGTACATCTACCCAATAATTTATCCCTGAAAATATCATTGTAACGATGTACCATGCATGCTGACTTTATCCCACCATTGCGCTTTGAAAAACCTTGTTCGCACATCTACGTCCGCATAGTAGGTGCTAAGGGGTCGAACGGGTGACCAGAAAAAGCTATGCCCAAGTGTACCAAGTCCGATGCTGCTAACTAAAAGTGCAGTGGGAAAATGGAAAGTGTCCCCGCTTTGCTCCACTATAAAGTAATCCGGCTGACAACAATTAGGTAATCCAGCATGTGTAATCCGAGGAAATTCGCAAAAATCCGTGATAATCCGGGGAAATTTGTGGGTAATCTGGAGTAATAATTGATAAACATCAACTTAGCTGGAGGATACTCCAGAGGTTATCAAGGTAATCCGAAATCCGGCTGGCACAAAGTTAAACAGCCGTTTCCTCCTCGGTACAGACAGACAAAGAGGAGAGAAACTTTTTCGTTAGTGAAGTAAAGGGCTTCGCTAATCGCTTAGCCAATAATCCCTCACTTGAACCTTTTTCAAAGCAGAAGGGCGTGCTAAAAACGTGGAGGTTGTCCAGTTATCGTGGAATCCGTGCGGATTCGAACTTACGCTGCGGAACGGCCAAGAAAAGAAAAGGTCTTGTGTAAAAAATACTACCCCTTCACAACTATTTTGAACATTGTGGAGGTTTTTAAGGGCTTACGAAACGGTTGGAAATGTGTCTTGTTATCTAACTAGAACGAAGCGTTCCGGTAAGGCTGAAATGTAGAAGTGTGCGGGGAAGAGGAAAACGGAAATCACTATGCTCTAACATGGTGACTTCCGTTCTCTTGTTCCCCGTATTCAGCTTTAACGAAATGTTTTACTATGCCTGTTGGCTTTCCCATTTTAAAATAGGAGCGATTCGACATTATCAACCCTTGTTACCTGTCCAAGAACGTGCGTAAGCAAGTTTTGCAGCGTCCGTGTGGATTCGCACGGTTATCGCGAGAACTTAACAACCTCACGGAAATGATGCTATATTTCCGCATGACGCTTCCTACAACACACACTGTTAGTCTGCAGTGTGAATTAGAGCCGAGGAATTCCAAAGAATCCCGAGTCAGGCCGTTTTTCGGTATTGCTTTCTGCCCTGTGATCATTTCATTTTAAAGGGACACGCCGCAGTCAGTCCTGGCCAGCCCACATCGGCTCGGCAATGCTTACCTGGCTGCAGCACAGGGCCACGAAGGCAACGAGAACAACCTTGCTGACCATGGTGTCGAAATCAAGGAGAGATGCAAACGGAACTAACGTTGTATTATTACTTCCAACCATTTATAGTCTTCGGCGAAACTTGTTTTCTCGCTGCGTACCGAGATAACACCTGTGCAAAGCGATGACATTCAGTTCGTGACAAGTGCACTTGCCTTTCTTCTTGCCACCTGCTTTGAATCCTATGACTCAGCTTTGTCTTCTTTACCACCGCACACAAACACCTATCACGCACTTAGAGAGGATTTTGTTACCGAACTGTTCGAAAACTGGTCAACCTGTATCTTCCGTGCTTTAGTGCCGTTCTTTTTCCAAAATGTCCATGTTCTGGATCAAAAATCTCCTGATTTACTGGTCAGAGTGAAAATATACGAACAGCCTTTTCTATTAACAATATATTAGCTATATGTACGCCAGACGGCGTAACAGGCTTCGCGATATCTCACGAAACACAGTCACGCTGCGACGCGCCTGGTGCACACGCCACCCTACTCCGCCCAGTGGAGGAGAGGGGGACGGCCCGGGCGCCTTTCCACCTTCCGTTTTTGTTCTACTTCGTCTCAGCGCTCTTGACCAAAACCCTATAGACCCTTTCGGTCCCCAAATTTGACATGCTACAGCATTTGTCGGGGACTCTGAAATTAGGAAAATAAATTTTCTGATATTAGATGGAGATATTCATTAAAAGTTTCCATCGGAAAGAGACTGGCGTCCACTGTGCCCAACCTTTTGTAGATACTTCGTACATGTCAGAAAATTCCTACCAATTCTGGGCTCACGTATAATTACCCGATTCGCAGGTAAATTTACACATGCAGAAAGTGTGGTCAGAATGGCGTAAGTCCTCTGGATCTGTGGACATATGCCATTCTGACAAATCACATCCGGACATATTCCTCTTTGGAAAATCCTCGTTTTGGACTTATGCCTGTCTGAAAAATTACAACCGGACGTATCCCTTATTGACATGGTATTTGTCCCCATAACACTGGGCGTTGGGCGTATTGCACTTAGGAAAGTTTTGATTCTACCAAATGGTTCCTTTTACCCAGTAGTATCCAAAAATGGTAAACAGTGAATTTTGAAAAATGTGGACTTACCCCTTTTTCACTTGTTACCAGTGAATATCGCGAAGCCTGTTACGCGAGACTTGGTCTGCTGTACACACAGCTAGTGTATCATAGATGGTAAAGTAAACATACAAGTGCCATTTGGCTATACTTATTTCCATGCGGGTCCACTTTCAGATTTCATCTTAGTGATCAACTTGGGACGGTTTCGAATAGGGTACTCCGGGGCTCGGCTAGACCGGAAGGAGAAGAACAAAAATCGTTGGGCCGGTCGGGCGCGGGGAGGAGCGCGGTACTGCCCCCACCCTGCCCCACTCCTCCCCGCGCCCGACGATTTTTGTTCTTCTCCTTCCGGTCTAGCCGAGCCCCGGAGTAACCTATAGCCAAAAGCATGAATAAGGCATTACGGCACGGCTAAAATGCAGAAGAATGCAAGGAAGAAGCCAACGGAAATCACTATGCTTTTGCATGGGACTTCCGTTTTCTTCTTCCGTTCATTCTTCTGCAATTCAGATTTACCGGTGTACTTTATTGTAATGTGCTGCAAAGAAACCGGATAAATTTGGAAGCCTTGGGTCTATTTTCGAACCTGAAAACAGAGCCTCCGTACAGGAAAGCATATTTAGAGATGTCTGAAACAGGCACAGAAAAGGGCTTTCCTGACGGAATTTTCTGGTTGTCTTTGCATATTGTTCGGGATACATTCTACAACAACTTCCAGAAGTCGATGAGCCTATCTCCGTCACGGGGGCCGAGTTATAACGCCAAAATTATTTCTAAAATAAGCGTGTCCGTGCGTTACAATTTTGATGTTGTTTTTTTTTTTTTTTTTTTTTTTTTTTTTTTTTAAATTCTGGCTTAACAGAAGGGGGCAGAAATCTGCAAATTTAGCATCTTAGCCAATTTTCAACGCCGAACAAAAAAGTTACCATGATTGATGGTCGAAAAACGAACGGAACATGGTGAAAATCGCGTTACGCACGGACGCTATCGTGAACAGCCCCTGTTTGGCATGGTCAATCTTTTCGAGCCGTTATTGTTAAAGTCTGTCCGGCTCGTGCTCTCCGACCCAAACGCACTGCTCCCGGACCTCTCCCTCCTCCCGGCTGCCCCCTTCTCCCACTTGCACAACTCCTTGTTAGTGTTTACATAAAATGAGCGAGTGGAGCTGGGCTGATCGGGCCTCTGCGCGCCGTTTGCATCAGGTGAGGCTATTAGCTCAAGAGATTTTTTTAAATTGCTTCGACCATTTTCTATTCGTCTAATAAGTGGGGTTAACATTTGACATGGTTGACATTTGACATGGTTAATTGATGCAGAGTCACGGCTTGTGTCATTAATGCGATTAAGAATTATTTAACCTTGTATATAGTACAAGGCAAGAAAAGTACTAAAGCTACTGTGTAAACTGATTCTCTTTTTCTTTTTTTTAACAATTGTTCAATGTTTCCATTCATAGTCAAAAATGTGGTAAGTTCCTTTACCTTGGGGTTTATCCTTTTTTCTGCTGATCCTTTAATAATGAATTTAGGGTGCCTCTTCAGTTTAACTAGCTTAGGGAGAGCGGGGTACCATGATCACTTTTTTTGTTTCTCTCCCCTATAGTGGTAGATGGCAGCTGGATCATGGGCTCAGGTGGGAGCTGTGTCTCTTAGATAGAACATGCTTAGGAAATAATTTCTGTCAATCAAACCATTTCTGAGCTGGGGATAAAATATTGGGACCCTGCATTATGTTCATGGTACCCCATAGGTGGGGTACGATGATCATGCATATTTGTGTCCTAGAAAGACACCCAAAAAATCCGAAAAACAATCTTTGATAATCAGCAAAGGGATTTATGACAATGTCATTGCCAGGGAATCCTGTGGGAAGCGGCCCTTTTCCAGACTGCGCCTGGGAAACGTGTGAGCTCACAGCCGCAAACGTCAAAACCTTATTATGTTAAAATCAAAATCTGGTTAGTGATTTGGTTTCAGCTCGTTCGAAAGAAATCGAAAGAGTCTTATACGCCGAGACGATCAGAGGCAAAATGCCAGAGTAATTGACGTCCAAAGTGACAATAACTGCCAAAAATGACTTAGTGTCACTTTGAACGTCAATAACTCTGGCATTTTGTCTCCGATCGTCTCAGCGAATAAGACACTTTCGTTTCCTTTCGACGAGCTGAATCGAAATCAGTAACCAGATTTCGATTTGAACTTAAAAAGTTTTGACGTTTGCATGATCATATGGTACCCCGAAAAAAAACTGCTCATCGTGCCCCAAAAGACAACTTTTTGGTCTAGAGAGACCTGAGTTAACCTCAGGTGTTCTAAAAAATCGCGTCCAGTCGTATTTCATAGTAAGAAGGTTACAGAAGGCAGGGAAAACGTCGCTTGTACTGTCGGACTCAGCATTCGGCTCTAAACAAAAATATCCCGAATAATTTTATGCTCGATTTTCCTAAATTGCTCTCTTTAAATTTATGAACCTCTCCCTTTCTCGTCTTCCGCGCCGTGCGACTTCGCGCTCTCGATAAAACCATCCGCTGGCACACCCCCTATCAACGTCTTTCAGGTTGGTGGCGGGCGGTGACATCATTGGCGCGTAAATTAAAAATGCTCATCGTGCCCCATGTTCATGGTACCCCGCTCTCCCTTACATCAGTTTCTTTATCTATGTTGACATTTTGACAAGTATTATTTTTCCTGAAGGCTGTTTCAAGGACGCAATGCATATTTTATAAGGACCATGAAAGCCTGAATGTTTTGATATCTTTAAGTCATAAAATTTATGTGGCGCATTCATCTTTAGATGAGCACATGAATATTTCGTTGTTTCGTTTAGAGATGCTGGGAGTTTCCCTTCTGTGAAATTAGGTGCAATTGTTAGAGCTTTTCTATAGTAGTTATTTTGGCTACATATTAAGTTGCAATACCTTTTCTGATCCTGATGAATCGTCTGAGTCATCAGGGGGAGACACATTTGCAAGTTAGGCAATTGCAGCATACTGAAGCTTGGCGGGTCCGCCTACCCACCAGGGGCGCCGAACGTTCTTCCGTGATGCGGTGCGAGCGATGACTATGTTTTGGAGGCGGCGGAACCAATGGATGAGGAGCATTCATCACACATCCTCACCCCAAAGGCGACACCACCTCCCACCCCACCACGGGGGTGAGAGGGGACTGCGACTACCTCCGCCACAACCCTGAGGGCTCTCGCATCTCCCTTTTTTGCTTCTTCTTCAGAGGGGAAATAAGTTTATTTTGTGGGACAACCTGCATCACTGTAGTTACTATTCCTTCTAGATGTTTAATGTAATCTGCTGCTGTCGCTAAATCTTTCTTCAATTCCTCTTTCTTTATCGAAGCAGCATTCAGTTCCTCTTCTAACTCTTTATTTGCTTCCCTGATCTTTTCTTCTGCCTCCGTCATTTCATTAAGACTTCTCTGCATTCCTTCTTCCGCCTCTTTGTACCTTCTTTTTCTTTCCTCATTTGCTTGCTTTTCCTCCCTCTTTTCTGCCCTGCTCTGCTCCCTCTCTTCTACCTACCTCATCCGCACCCTCTCTTGCGGGGTGGTACACCATAATGCCCCCGGCCTTCACGAACACGCAGTACGGCTTTCTCAGCCTCCCAGAATTCCTTGGCGGCGCGAGGCAACCGCAAGCTAGTTCACCCAGCGACTCATTGCGAAGCTTCCCGCCCCAAGCTTTCTGATGGTGAACATGGCCAGGGCGAAGGCAAGAGGGGCAATTGGTGTTGACCTTGTCTTCGCCGATGGCCATGCGGACGATGAAGTTCTGATTAGCTGCTGAACACGCCGCGAAGAGTTCTGTAGGGCAAATATTTAGGTAAGTACCTATATTCAGTTCAGCCAAGCTTACGCGAGAGCGTGGGCGCGAGAGTGCGAGAGCGAGGCGACAGCGTGGAGCATGTACGGACTGGGAACCCGGCCGAGCGCCAAAGCCGAAGCCGGGTTCCCCATCCCTACCTACTCCACGCTGACGCCTCGCTCTCGCGCTCTCGCGCTCTCGCGCTC